TTCCTTAGTTATGTCTGAGTAGAGTCATTGTAGTCTGAATTCAATGGAACTCAATGATATTCTTATGTATGTTTGATTAATATGATGAAGTGTTTTTCATGTGTTGATATGAGATTTTCTGATTCAATTCTTTCTACTAAGGGAGGAGTGTAGAACAGGAATGTTTACACTACTCCTATATCTGACAATCTCATCATCAGGATTATAGTACTCAAGGAATTGATACTATAGTTCTGATGTAATCTTAAGACCTTAGTATTTCATGCATGTATTAAGAAATGAATCACCATGGGATTGGGGTTTCTGATTAATGTATCTATCAGGGTAGTAAGGGATTACATCTTGAGGATAAGTAAAAGGTTGATTAACATCACAGGAAAAAGAGTTCAACATATGATCAGTTTACATGAGTTTATTGTTGAGGAAAGTTGTTTACTAACTACTTGTTTTTATAAATCTTAATTCAAATTTTTAGTATTAGATTAATTTACTTTCAAATTAACTTTCTGGTGACAAAACATTCATGATTTTTACAAACCTTTGTTTAATTCAAATTAGTTTTCTATGGTTCATTGGTGTTTGAATACAAATCTATGTGGGAACGATCGTTACTCATTATTTTATTACTTGTACGACTAGTACACTTGCTAGATCTGCAACAAGTTCCTCCTTAAGGTTTTTCAAAAGAACCTAGTCAATTCTTCTATATACCATTCCCACTCTTGTGAAATTTTCATGCTGGAGACTTCACTCTTCTAAACACATATACCTAGCCTCCTTCTTCACCTATTGAGCGCATAGCAAGCCTCTCTGTGGTGGTCAATTGGTGGCTTTCAAGAAAGCGTTCTTGCATCTTGACGTGGGTGGTGTGGATCAACGTTAGAGGGTTTGAACCCTTCAAACCTAACACTAATCGTCTTGGAGTTTTGAACTCACAAACAAAGGTAACATCACATGTCATAAAACATGATTCTTGATTGCATGTGTAATTCCGCATATGAAAAATTTTGTTTTTCCCTCTCACATGCTACGGCCTTCAAGGCCATTTTACTTTCAAGTGGTATCAGAGCCCGGTCGCTTTACCATCGGCGGGTGATGGTACTTTGTTTGTGAAATTAATTTTCTCACGGTCAAAAGGTCTTTTTGTTAAAGATTAATTCTTTGCATGTGGATTTTTTTTTATGAACATGTTTAATATGATTATGGTGTTCATATATCTACATGACCTCATGGTTTTGTTTGTTTTGATTCTTTGTGAAAGTTTTCAAAAGAAACATTTTTTTGAAAAGGGAATATGATTCTGCCATGATGTGAATATTCAAATGCATTATTTTCTCCATGATTTTATTTAATAAAATTTTTGTATATGATGATGTATGGTTCGGCCATATGAGTTATGGTTGAATAAATGGTTTAATTTTTGTGATCTACCATTGGGAGAAAATTGGAAATTTTTTGAATTTTGATTCTTGTTTTGATATTTTAATTGTTAAATTATCAAAATATATGTGAAGAAATATTTATATAATATTTGATATTATGTGCTTGCAAGTTGTTTAAATTTTCAGGTGCAATTTGGAAGGGGATGGTCATGGTGCCCGAAATTCGAATTTCAAATTTTAAATTAATGTGTAATTTTGCTCTATTTTAATTAGAGTTGTAATTTGAATTTTGAATTTTTATTATTTGTCCCTCCAAAGATGTTTTGGAGTTTCTTTAATTATATGTAATTAGAGAATTAGGCTAGTGGCTTATAGACGACGAGGAGCTGATGCTTGAGAAGCAAGATGGACAAATGCACGAGCACTATGACCATCTCAAATAAAACTGTTTTATATGCATGTATGCTTTTATGTTTTGAACGACTAGTATGCATGAATTGGACAAATCGTGTTTGTATGTATTATTATGCATGTCCAATTACGACTAGTGTAATCCGATAGATGTTTGACATAGGATAACGACTAGCATGATAATAATATAAATGCGTTTGATGAGACCTAACAAACCCCAAATAAAAAGAACCCTTAAAGGAATAAATTATTAAGCATATGATTACCTCCCACCACCAATATTACTCGAACCTCCTCTACATAGTGGTGCTCCACAGCTCAGTTGGGACCCACTGTTTCGTTGAGTAAGAGTAGTATTAGAAGTGTTAGACACTTAGGGTGCTGGTTAATACTTAACTGAGACATAAGTTGCAGGCTCAGCCACGCTTATGTGCTTAGGGTAATAATGCTAGGTTGGTTGCATGAGATGCACAACTAAGTGACAAGGAGTTGTAAAAACCATCTTTACATCTTTTTCAGTTTTTAGTATGACTAATCCATTGTCACTGCGCTCAATACTCGATACGAACAAACTGACAGGTTCAAACTTTATGGACTGGTATCAGAACTATGGATATCTTCTGGTATCAGTGTGATAGGCAAGTACGTAATGTCATCTGAGATAAGTTATGAGATAGTCTCCTCGTTAGCTACTGAGGGCATATATAAATGAAGTGCACTAGGAGGTTATGTACATTAGGGATAGTTTAGCAGGTGATTTAGTGGTGTCATGCAATGTTTAGTAGGTAGTTATATGTAGTGGAAAGAAGTTAAGAGAGAATGGTAGAATGCATGTCATGTAGTGGAGAGTGTCGAGACCATTTAACTTGTCCATAACATAAGCCCCAAGCTCGGTATTGCGCGAAGTCGAAATGTCGGGACGAAAGTAAAACCCCCATGCCTATCAAATAGTGTTTAATGTTGTGCAAAAGGATATAAATGCCGAGAAAATTCAGCTTGTGATTGCTTCCAGTTTCCAGATTATTCGTTGCTCGTAGTTGTTATGAGTTTGTACTACTTGCCCGACTTCTGATGAATCTCCGTCTTTGTCCTTTATGCAAAAAATGAGATGTAGAACTGTTACAACCCCCGTATAAAATAAAAAAGCCACAAACGTATTAACAAAAAAATTCATAAAATCGTAGCAACAAATGATCATGTTTAAGAGTTAAAGCATATGATTCCTCCAAAAATGACACTTTTAACCCTGCTGGCGACTCCAAAACCCCCAATAGCACTCTGGTCCTGTTTTAATCTTACCCCTTCCCCATTTTTATTTTTATTTAGGAAATAAAATTTAAAAGTATTAATTTTTAATGTTATATATTATTATTTCAACATAAAAATTAATTTATAACTCGTGAAAGGAATGCCTATGGAATAGGGTAGTGGAGAGGATATGCATAGGGTATAGATAGAATCAAAAAGTGGACATGTCGGAGTGGTTATCGGGCATGACTAGAAATCATGTTTGCCTCCATACTACTTATTGTGGTTGGAGATCAGTGCCTCAGTGTTATTTTTTATAATTTTGGTAGATATAAAATTAAACGAGGAATACTCAATAAATTGTTGCAGAAAAAGTATCCAGTATCTAATCGTGTTTACTGTTTAAGTATTTATCTGTTGTGTTTCTGATGTGTGACTATACGTTTTGAAATCACCAGTCAAAGAACAGGAGAGAAATTTTACTGGAATATGTTAAGAACGTGCAGCCAGAATTTATGGAACTATTTGTGAAAAGTGCACCTCGAAAGTATGGTGTTGTCTTGCTATGAACATGGTACTTGTTTGGGGGTAACTGCTTATCGTGTTTCCCCCTTCATGCTTATTTTTCAAATATTTGCAAAGAGTAGTTAATTTATAAATAAGGAAAAAGAAAGTTGTCACTTATATGTTTTTCTTGAGTGCTCGAACCCCCAACACAGTTTTGTTATTGTTGATGCGTGTACGATGAAATAATTTTGATTGTAGAGCAAGACCCAAACCCGGAGGGCAGCAAAGGGTTGTGCTCGGCTGTGGCATTGGTGGATTGGACAGTGTTGTTCATCGATCATAATGGCTTTGACGGGGCTGCCTTCTTTATGTTCATCACATTAGTAGGGCGGGAATCAAAATTTACCGATTCTCCATAGACAGTGTCAAATGTTCTGTATGAACATCAACATGGGATAAATATCGTTTGGTATCGATGTGATAGCTTGGTTTGAATGCAAGTATGTAACGTCATATAAGATAAGTTATGAGATAGTCCCCTTATTAGCTATAGGGGCATATATAGATGAAGTGTACTAAGGATATTATGCACATTGTGGATAGTTTAGCATATGATTTAGTGGTGTCCTGCAATGTTTAGTATGTAGTTACATGTAGTGGAGAGAAGTTAAGAGAGAGTGATGAAGTGCATGTCATGTAGTGGGAAGTGAAAGTTAGGACCATTTAACTGGTCCATAACAAATGTAAAATTAGAATCATTCTAACTAATAAGTAATAACTAGAGTTGATTTAATAGTAAGTGTTATAAGTTATAATTTATATGGTTCTAGGTTTGAATCTCATTAGTGTTATTTTTCAAGAATTTTGTCCAAAATTTCACAAAATCGATTCAGGGCCGGTTGAACCTGATTCAGGACTGATTTAGTGGTTTCATACTGGGTCAAATATATAAGCCGTTTAATACCTAAACCCAACTGATTGGGGATCCAATTTACGGGTCAACCAATCAAGATCGGATTGGTTTTTATAACTTTGTTAAAAACATTGAAAGCAGCTCTTTTTTGAAGCTTCAAAAACACACCACACATCTATTACATCCTAGACTTCGTTTGAATGAGTTTTTTTTTAGCCAAAAACTATTTTTTTTTTTAGAAAAAAAAAACACATTTATTAATAAGTTTGTTCGGATATCTGATTTAAATAAAAAGTAAAAGCCAAAAAAAAGTCAAAAATTTGTTTAAAAAAAAAAGCAGATGTCAAAATCGATATATTTTTTTAAAAATCTAAATAACATGCCACGTCACATTCTTCTCTTCTCAAATCTTGCGTAAAAAACGTATATACACCCTTTTAAGTAAAATAATCATACTAGCAAATAGCATAATTTATTACGTGATGAACGAACAAACGAACAAGAAATGAGAATACACTCCACGGCGACAACAGCTTATGATGATTTCATTTGTGTTGAGATTAATTTCAACCGGTCATGGTCATGGTCGTGGTCGTGCAGCATGTTGTGTTAAGAAACGACGACACTCCACAACCAAAAACGTAAACCTCACAAGCATGTTCGACAAATACGTGGACAAAAACAGTGTCTCTAGTTGGAACTCCGTCATCGCCGACCTCGCTCGAAGTGGCGACTCCGTGGAGGCTCTTGGCGCCTTCTCTTCCATGCGCAAGCTCTCTCTGCACCCCAACCGTTCCACCTTCCCCTGTGCCATCAAATCATGCTCTGCACTCTCGGATCTCCGCGCGGGGAAGCAGACCCACCAGCAAGCTTTCGTCTTTGGTTTCGGATCGGACCTCTTCGTTTCTTCTGCGCTCGTTGATATGTACTCCAAGTGTGGTCACTTGGAAGATGCACGAAACCTGTTCGATGAAATTCCCAAAAGAAATGTGGTCTCTTGGACGTCCATGATTGCTGGCTATGTCCAAAATGATTATGCCCGGGAAGCTATTTGCCTCTTTAAGGAGTTGTTGGTTGAGGAAAGTGGGTCTGGGAATGTGGGGTCTGAGGATGAGGATGTTTTTGTGGATTCGGTTCTAGTGGGTTCTGTTCTTTCGGCTTGTTCTCGGGTGTGTTGGAAGAGTGTGACTGAAGGGGTTCATGGTTTCGTGATTAAGAGGGGGTTTGAGGGGTGTTTGGGGGTTGGGAATACTTTGATGGATGCTTATGCAAAGTGTGGTGAGATGGGTGTATCTAGGAAAGTGTTTGATGGGATGGATGAGTTTGATGCTTATTCTTGGAACTCTATGATTGCTGAATATGCACAAAATGGATTATCATCAGAGGCTTTGCATGTTTTCAGTGATATGGTGAAGAGAAGCAAGGTCAGATATAATGCTGTGACATTATCTGCAGTGTTGTTAGCCTGCGCGAATTCAGGAGCTCTCCAGCTAGGCAAGTGCATACATGATCAGGTATATTACTGGATCCACACCACAGTTCCAGTTTTTTGGCTTTAATTATTTATCATATTTAGATAGGGCCTAGGTCAGTCTCACTCACTAGCTGTTTTCTTTTACTATAGGTTATAAAGATGGATTTGGAGGATAACGTGTTTGTAGGTACTTCTATAGTTGATATGTACTGCAAATGTGGGAGAGTTGAGATGGCTAGGAAGGCATTTGATCGCATGAAAGAGAAGAATGTTAAGTCATGGACTGCTATGGTTGCTGGTTATGGAATGCATGGACGTGCAAAAGATGCTATGGAAGTCTTCTACAAGATGATAAGATCTGGAGTCAAACCGAATTACATTACTTTTGTGTCAGTTTTAGCTGCTTGCAGCCATGCTGGTCTATTGAAAGAAGGCTGGCATTGGTTTAATAGAATGAAATGTGAATTTAGTGTTGAACCTGGGATTGAGCATTATTCGTGCATGGTTGACCTCCTTGGGCGTGCTGGCTATCTTGATGAAGCTTATGGTTTGATCCAGGAAATGAACGTTAGACCTGATTTTATAGTCTGGGGCTCCCTTCTTGGGGCTTGTAGGATTCACAAGAACGTGGAACTAGGGGAGATCTCTGCAAGAAAACTATTTGAGTTAGATCCAAGTAATTGTGGGTACCATGTACTACTCTCTAATATTTATGCTGATGCTGGAAGATGGGACGATGTTGAGAGGATGAGAATATTGATGAAGAGTCACGGATTGCTTAAAACTCCTGGATTTAGTATAGTTGAACTTAAAGGTAGGATACATGTATTTTTAGTTGGAGACAAAGAGCATCCTCAACATGAGAAGATTTATGAGTATTTGGAGAAATTAAATGTCAAGCTGCAAGAACTTGGTTATATGCCAAATGTAACATCAGTCCTTCATGATGTTGAAGAGGAAGAGAAAGGAATGGTTCTAAGAGTTCACAGTGAGAAACTAGCCGTTGCCTTTGGAATCATGAATTCAGTTCCTGGGTCAACAATCCAGATCATAAAAAATCTTAGAATTTGTGGTGACTGCCACCTTGCAATTAAATTAATTTCCAAGGTAGTGAATCGAGAAATTGTTGTCAGAGATTCAAAACGATTTCATCATTTCAAGGATGGGTTGTGTTCATGTAGGGAATACTGGTGACAAAAATTGAAATAAAGGGAGTCAGAATCTATGGTGTTAGGTGTTCACTACTTCTCCATCATCAAAGCCTGATTGATGCACGTATCTTATATATTACCTTTGTGAAGGTGCATATCTGTTTTGATCTCGCTGTTTAGTTTGCTTTGGAATGAATGGTGGATCAATTAGTTCTCTTAAGAATAATGAAAAGATTTTCATCTGGTCTTCTAGATGGCTTATTTCCAGTTCAAATATATAATGTTATTGCATTACCACTAGAGCACCATAAAACAAACTGCGAACAGCATACAGGTAGCTGTTTTGACTTGAAAGCATCGTAAATTGTTAAAGGACGCGTGAAATAAAACTCTTCTGCACCTACATTTCCGTCAGTACAACAAGTTCTCATTTGCTTACTAAACCTCAAAGTATATCATAGCAAAGTTCTTCCAGAATTACTAAACGATCTTGTGTGGAACACAAGACCGTGAGGATGTAAAGTAAAGTCTACAACATACATGGAGAGCAACCTCCGAAGAGCTTGCCCATAAATATTCCTCCTGGTCCTGGTCTTGATATCTGTGGTTGGTCGCATTTTGAATCAGCATTGGAGTGCTTTAAAGAAATCTGGAGGGCCTTGTTCTCATGCTTCAAAGCTTCCACCTCTAACTGAAGCCTTCTAATGGTTTCTCTCTTTTCCTCATTTCTTTGGACCAACTCTACCAACTGTTGCTGATTATCCTCTGTAAGTTCTGTAATTTGATATTTCAGCGTTGACCACTTGTTGTCCAATTTGAAATTGATCAATGATGGATCTTCAATTCTCTGATTTAATTCCGAACCTTCAATCTTCATAAAAACATTTTCGTTGGTGGAAAATTCTGTCATTCTGTCTTCCATTTGAGTATCTCTGCATTCAAATTCTGGTTTAAATTTTATGCTGCATGGGTCAGCTGATAACAGTTCATGGCATTCAACTTCTTGCTTGCGTAATAGCTCAGAATCCAGGTTAGTACAATCAAATTTGATATCAGAACACTCCATGAGAGATATTCGATGGCAATTACAACCCTCCTCGAGTTCTTTATTCTCTAAGTTACCTGTTTCTCTTTTGCTGCAGATAGCACATATGGTTTTTGATGTACTTGAAGATGATAAAGATATTGAATGAAAGGTACCATGAGATGTTTTGGACTTCAGCTGGTTATATGTTATGGCTAAAACACGGTAAGATTGGCCAAATTCTTCAAGCATCTGTTTGAGGTCTTCTGTCCATTTGCAATGCATGTGTCCTTGGTTTGGAGAATTGCCACCTTCTAAAATGGCCATCATGGCCTCCAATTTCTCATCCAAATCTAAAAATTAATCAAAAAGTACAGGAGGTTGTGAGTGAAAACAGAAGAATAACTAGTCAAAGACCCTGTGAAGATTCCAATCATGTGTTGCTTTACTTTGAGCTACTCCTACAAATAAGCCGGACGTCCCAGATTTAAACCCAGAAATTTGGATAGGAGAGGTCTCCCAGTATAGAAGGTCAACAGATTTTAAGGGGCCAAAATGCCTAATTAGGAGACCTTATTAACAGGATATAACAGAACATGAAGGGTCGATTGCAGCATTTTTGTTATTTGGATGCCCTTACTGCCTTTTACTCTACCTCTGGCTATATAATACTAAACAAATATTGTAGAGCATATATACGGGCGAGAGTCTTGGAGTAGCTGTAAAGTTGCTCCTTGTGATGGAAGGTCAACCCTCATCCCTAATGTCTCAAGTTGAGAAACTTTGTGCACCTCATCCCTAATGTCTCAAGTTGAGAAACTTTGTGCATACGGTTTACCCTTTATATATTTTATATGTAGGTGCAGTAAACCTTTGATGAACTTTTCTGGAGGGACAGTTTCTAATGACTTCAAACATTTTGGCTATATTTTTCTAGCCTTCTTCAAACCCACACGGCCACACCCACCCCCATGCTGTAGCCAACTTTATCATAATCAACTTTATTATATCTTTTCAATCCACGAAGCAAAGTCAAACAAAGCTAACAACTTGTTTAAAAAGGAGTTATATAGAAATTTAGCGTGCAACATGCTGCAGAACTGTTAAACCTCAGCGTGCATGCATGTGCATGTGTGTGAATGACCCCAAGAGAAAGAGAGAGAGAGGGAGAGAGAAAGACCTGATATGGTTGTTTGAAGCCATTGAGACCGATGGATATGAGCAGAACTCCATGATTCATGATCTTTGTTTTCCATGAACAAATGTGTTATCACCACAGAGCAACATAATTTATCAGAGGACCAAGTGGGGACAACGGGGTTTAGTGTAAAGAAGCAAGTAAAGAATTTGAAAAACTCAGGATAACGTTAAGCAGATTCCTTGTCAAATTTGAACGCATTCTAAAGGAGAGTTATTGTTGCTCTCCGTGACTTTGGTTCCAATTTACTATTTTAATGAAATGTCCTCATTATTACTCATTAGTCTGCGGATCGATTTTCCGTTAACTTTAATTTTGGTTTCTGTAAAATATACGTATTAACTAATGAGTTTGATGACTCTGCTGCTGTATATAGGTCACAACACAATCAATTATTGATATGGAGGAATCTGTAGACTGTAGTCTTAATTAGTCGTACCCTTCACTTTTTTTTTTTGGTGAAGTAATTAGTCGTACCCTTTATGTAAATAAATGTGTTACGAGAAGATTATATTTACGAACTTTTTGTTTACAAACTATTACAAATTACATGTATTCCGGAAATATATTAGGTTACACTATGTACTTCCAAGAATACATAGTGTAATTTGTAAAAATTTGTAAAAAAAATTTGTACATCGATCATTTTCCAATATCTTAATATGAAAACATAGCATGCTAAATAATAATTTGAACTTTTTTTTTTGATAAAGCAAGAAAAGTTTATGAACAAGAATAAGACTAAAAAACAGATATTAGGTGTAGTTATATAAATTTTATCTTTATATCATTTAACTATGGCTTTAATGTTTCTACATTTAATGCAGATAAGATATTCACATTCATTCACAAAACAACGTCGTTTTGAGTTGAAAGATTAAAAAATTATAATGATAAATATTATTATAACCTTAGAACAAATTATAATTACAAAAACACATTGATTTTTGTTTCAAAATAATATCATTTTGAGTTCAATGGAGATAATTTATCTGCATTTATTGCAAAAAAAAATAAAAATGAATCCTTTAGGTATTTAATTAAATTTTTAACTTCATATGTTTTATTAATCCTTCCTCTATCATTCAATCAAAAAGAGAAAATAAGAAAAAATAAAGTAAAAAATGAAGATGAAAATTATCGAGAAAATTTTTCCAAACAAAAAAAAAGTATACCAAGGAACATTTTATTAATGATATAAACAAATCAATGCAATTAATCTTGCTTAGATCTGTCTGATCTGAGGAGAGGATTTTTACACGAAACCCAAAAGCCAAAATATTTTATTATAACACCAAAAATTGTAATTTTAGGTGTATAAATAGATTTTATTTAATTTTTTCTATCAAACTCTGTCCTCTCTTAAGCTGTTTTATAAACAGATTTTGACAAAGAAATTGTTCAATTGTTTGAGTGATTAATCTTACAATATTGCTTTGTCAAAAAGCTAAAAAAAAAAAAAAAATACGACATTTTATAAGGTAATGTCATTTGGACATGCAACACAGTGCTTTTAAATAATAAAATAAAATAACACACGTCTTCATATGCTAATCAATTTTATTTGTGTAGTATGACGTCATAGCTTTTTATACAAATTCACACATATATATATATATATATATATGAAAATCATTTTTTCATGTAATAGGAGATAAATTTTTCATGTTCTGAGATGTCGAATTCCATATTATCCTATTTTTTCTTTAACAAATAAAAGGTCCCACCACTTGTTGTATTTATGGCATGAGAAATGTTATCCCATGTAAGATGAGAAAAGAGAAATATATATATATATATATATATATATATATATATATATATATATATATATATAGTTAAAGAAATTAAATATTTTTATATTAGTTGTCAGTGCTTGTTTCTTTCTCAGTTGTTTATATTTCTTTTTATACTTTTTTCAGTATAAGAAATTTAGGATGAAGAGTGGTTGTTCTTATTTTAATGAATAATCAAATAATATCATTAATGAGTTACAATAGAATTACAAGTTTTTTGTCCATGAAAAATCTTAAATTTAAACTCAAATTATACTATCATTATGAACAAAAGTTTATCAAATGAGAAAACCTTGTTGATATTTCCTTTTTTAATAAAGGTAGGGCTAATTGCTTCCCCTACATAGAACAACTCATTTAACAATCAAGTAGATTTAATATTTTAGAAATTAAATTTGCAGATTTTGATATAGTAGAATTAAGTAATGAAGTAAAATATTTTAATTGTCTATAAGGATATTTAATTTTAAATGAAATAATTTTTTTAATTTTCATTATACAACTTAATTTGGAAGAGTGAATTTTTTTATTATGGCTGTTTGTCTAAAACTCTTATGTGAATTTTATTAATTGAAAGATACATAACTGATACAATAGTTCATCTATTTATACAATGATCAAAGGCGGGAAAACTCATAAAACTAGCTGGGTGAATTTAGCAAAAGACATAAAAAAACAGAATTCAGTTTTGGCAGTTTTGCTGATGTGGCTCAGGTGACTTTAGTTAAAGCTTTCTTTTACACATTTGTGCTTGCTGATGTGGCTCAAGTGACTTTAGTTCAAACTTTCTTTTACACGTTTCTGCACGTGACTCTAGTTTATTTTGCTTATCTTCCAATACAACCCACAAGTTAGGCGGTGGATATCATACATCCCTAACTTGGAGATGGCCAAACGAAATGGTGAAGACGAAAGTGGTTTAGTGAATACATCTGCAACTTGATTAACAGAGTCAATGGGAAGGAGATAGAGAAGCCCAGATTTGATCATTTGTCTAATAACGTGACAATCAATCTCAATATGCTTGGAACGGTCATGGAATGTGGGATTGTGAGCTAGGTAGATTGCGAAGCAGCTATCACATAAAAATGTTGCTAGTCTTGTCTATAGGATATGCAGGTCCTGGAAAAAGAATTTTATCCATTGGAGCTCACAAGAGAGGTTGGCCAAGGCTCTATATCCAGCCTCTGAAGAAGAACGACTCACGGTGGACTGTTTCTTGGAATGCCAAGTGACTAAAGCAAATCCAATAAAGATGCAAAGGACAGTGACAAATTTTCTCGTATTTGGGCAAGTGGCCTAATCAGAGTTAGCAAAGGCTTGGACTCAAAGATCATTGGTTGAAGGAAAACAAAGCTCGTGTCCAGGTGCAGCCTTCAAGTAATGAAGAATACGCTTGGCAGCACTGAGATGAACATCAGTGGGTTGAGCCACATATTTACTGAGATGATGGACTGTATAGCATATATAAGGGTGGGTAGTAGTTACATAGAGTAATCTGCCAATTAGGTGTCTGTAAGAGGAAGGGTTAGAGAGAGGTGAACCCTGTAAAGAACTAAGTCTGACAGCTAAATCCATTAGAGTAGTACAAATGAAGAGAGTTTAGTATGCCATTGCCTACTGGCTTGACGTAAGCCATACAAATATTTTTGTAACCTACGAACTTGACTTCATTTTACATGCTGCAAGCCTGGTGGAGGTTCCATATAAACTTCCTCATGGAGATCTCCATGAAGGAAGGCGTTATTGACATCCAGTTAGTGTAGAAACCATCCTTTCGCGGCTACAAGTGCTAGAAAGATTCGAATGGAGCTAGCTTGGCTATTGGACTAAAGGTGTCGAAGAAATCAATTCCTTCCATTTGAGCGAAGCCCTTAGCTACAAGATGGGCTTTGAAACGCTCAATGGAACTATCTGATTTGTGTTTGATCTTGTACACCCATTTACAGCTAATGGGTTGTTTACTAGAGGGAAGATCTACCAAACACCACGTATTGTTTTGGGCTAAGGCTTGCAACTCAGAATCCATGGCTTGTCACCAAGTATCAAATTTCACAACTTGATTGTAGGTTTTAGGTTCCACATAGGTTGAGATGTTCATACAGAAATGACGATAAGAGGGAGAACAGTGACTGTAAGATAACACATCAGTTAGAGGATATTTAGATGAAGACATACCTTGGTAAATATTGGTCTGATGAACATTAGGTGGTCTACAGTGATAATCAGCAAGATAGCTTGGAAGGACACGAACACGAGAAGATCTTCGCAGCAAGGATTGCGAGTTTTGAGTAGGAAGCAATGTGGATGGAATATCACAAGCTGGTACAATTGCAGTTGTCAAACTGTGTGGAAGTCTAAGACTGTCATTAATGGCGGCTTCTGGTATGGAGGCATTTGGGTTATCAGGTGGATTATGAGAAAATATTGTGTCAAAATCCAAGGTGAAAGTGTTTGTGGGCAGTGGAAGTGAGGCGCGTTTTGGGGCAGATGTCAATTGTTGAAAAGGAAAGTTATCTTCATAAAAAACCACATTTTAAGAGATAAAGAGCTCACGGGAGTTAAGGTCATAGAGAAGATAACCTTTCACTCCAAATTTGTAGCCAAGAAAGATAGCTTTGTGGGCTCGAGGTTCAAAGTTTTGGAGGGTCGAGGAGTAACAGAGACAACCAAAGACTTTGAGGTTATCTAAAGAAGGGAGTGTAGAGTAAAGGAGCTCAAATGGTAATTTGTTCATGAGAAGTGGAGTGTAAGTTCTATTTATAAGGTGAACTGAATGAGTGATTGCATATGACCACAGCTTGATAGAAAGACATGACTGGAACAACAAAGCTCTAGCGACATTAAGGATATGTTGGTGTTTGCAATCTACAATGCCATTTTGTTGAGGGCATTTGAGGTAGGTGCGTCGATGAATGATACCTCTTTTTTTGTAAAGCTCGATCACCATAAATTCAGCACTGTTGTCGCTATGAAGTGTCTTCAAGGATGTGTGGAATTGGTTCTCAATGAAAGTAAAGAAATGAAGCAAATGCGTTCTAGTCTGAGACTTGTTTTTCATAAGGATTATCCAAGTGAAACGCGAATAACCATCAATAAGAGTTAGGAAGTATCTGTCAAATGTCTGCGTGCAAGAGTTCAAAACTTTAGTTATTGTAGTTTTGCTGGTATTATATGGGATCCTTCTCTGTTTAGCGAAATGACATGCATCTCATACATCATTATGATGAAATGGAATGAAAGAAAATCGAGTTGACATTTCTTGAAGTATAGACTCAGGTACATGACCAAGTCTTTGGTGCCATAATGTGGAATCACCATAATTTTCTTTACAACTCTTGTATTATCACAAATCTTTCCCAAATGTACTGCAAACTCCTTGCTCTTCTGTGTAGCTATCTTGTTTGACATCACATACAATTTACTTCTTTGTTCAGCTATACTAATCGTCACTTGGGTATATGGGTCCTGAATAGTGCAAGAAGAGGAACAAAATGTTAGGCAACAAGAATTATTGCTTAATAGTTTAGTCACTGATGTCAAATTGACTTTAAAGTCTGGG